TGTGGGGCGTGTGGGGAGGCAGCTGATCCATGATTCTCTCTCATCATTGATGTTTCTATCTCTCCCTCTCCCTTCCTCTCTAAAAAATCAATAAAGGGGAAAAAATACATGAAGAGACTACGTTCGCTTATACACTCCACAAAGTCAGGGGTATCCCTGATCCCCAGGAATTGATGGAAAATGTTGGCCAGGACAGAGCCCTTCGACATCAACCCAGAGGCTTGCCTGCACCTTGGCATGAGTCCCGTGTTGGGGGCTACGGTAATTCAATAAGCTGCCCTCGGACCTAATTGCACTGGTACCTGCTCTATATTTCCCCGTCACGACCACAAGAAACCCGTGTCGCCCTAGCTGGTTTGGCTCAGTGGATAGAGCGTCAGCCTGCAGACTGAAGGGTCTTGGGTGCGATTACAGTCAAGGGCACATTCCTGGGTTGCAGGCTCGATCCCCAGTGGGGGGCATGCAGGAGGCAGCCGATCCATGATTCTCTCTCATCATTGATGTTTCTCTCTCTCTCCCCCCTCTTCCTTCCTCTCTGAAATCAATAAAAATATATTTTTTTAAAATTAAAAAGACACCAGTGTCGCGAAGATCATGAGGTGGGCGTGGCGCTGGGCTGTTGAGCCCATTTTGGTTCCCAGGCATCATCCCTTCCTTTTCTGCGGCCGCCCACATCCCCCTCACCTCTCTCTCAGCCCTCTGGCTCAGCGTCCGGAAGTCTCCTCTTTCTTCTCTTTCCAAAGCAGGGGCGGCCTTCTGACCCTCGCCAACCTTCCCTCTCATTTTCCATTTGTCATTCTGCAAAGGCCGCTGGTGATTCAGCATCCTCCTCAGCAGCCAGGATACAATTAGTCCAGGCCAAGGGACCTGACTTCCCGTAGCCAGGAGCTCACTGGCAAACCCTGCCACCCACCCCCCCAGGACTCGGTAAGCGCTAGCTCCTTCCTGGCGATGCTCACGCGCCAGCCAGGTCTGAACGGCAAAGCCCCATTGCCCTCGGGTTCCTGTCTTCTGTGGCCTCCGCCCGCGTCCCCCCTCTCTGCTCCTAGCGACAGGCCTGCTCTGTCTTTCGTCATCTCTCCCTGAACCGAACAGAAAGCTCCTTTCAATGGTCCTCCCTGGCAGTGCTCTGTGACAGTTAGGCCTGCTTCCCCCATTATAACAAGTAATATACGCTCATTAAAGAAAAATCCAGTTAAGTAGGAAGATGGAATAAGGGAAAATAACTCCCTGTCCCGTGACCTAAACCAG